ACAAAATATATATATATACTAGCTGACCCGACAGACGTTGTTCTGTACCTACGTCTACAATTTTTCAATATTTTATACTAATATTTACTGCTTAGTTAAAAATAATAATTACTGTTTTTTGAATTACTATTTACACCAATATATAAGTGATGTTGAATGTAGAACTGTTTCAAATAAAATGATTGTTCTCATTTCCACAGTTAACACTTTAATTATTTATTTAACAAATATTAAAAAGTTCAATAAAATTGTATATTAAAAATTATACACTGCGATTTATAGAACAAATTTATTTCCAATAGCTCAATTTATTTTATTGCATTTAAGGGTTATATAGTATTTTTAGCCATACCTGTAGATGTGGATGTATAAATGAATGATTTTTGTTTATTCACGACTAAAACATTGATTTTCCAAATTTATCACACTAAAAATGATCGTCTGCCTTTTTGATTTATGGTCATAGCATAAGATACTCATGTTGAAAATTGAAATCTTTTAAAAGTACAACACATTCAGAAAGAATTAATATATAGCATTCGCGGCAAAGGTGCAATATCACCTTTTATTTTTCTCACCAAAATAATTGCTTCAATAATGTTGCCTATAATTTTTATAATTTTGTACCATATTTTAACTGGCTTTAAGTAATTTTAATATCTAAATTGCATTTTTTTCTCTAATAAATCAATATACATTATTGCTTAAGTTTATATTTGAAGTGAATTAATTTGTCAAATCCTGTTCACATGTGCTCTATTCAACTTACGATCAACAAAATTATTGCTCTGTAAATTTTTTTTACTGTGCTCCAATTTACTTGATATTTTGGAAATAGGCTAATCTTTATCTTAATTTCAATGTTTTTAACAATTTGCACTCCGTCACCATCCACAGCATTAATTGGATTATTACTCTTTTAATTCTGATTTTATCAGAACTTGTAATACACTATTTTAAAGGTGATTAAATGAGCTACAACTTTCTCTATCATTAATTTTACCGTAACTTCTCTTATTGTAAAACGGCGAAGGGTTAAGGGCTCGAAAGACCTCTGGTTGGACAGCTCCTTAATTAATCATACATCTATCAATATTTGTGTAACGAAAAAATAATAAACAATAATAATTAGTCAGAAAAATACCTCGAATTTTCTTATATATATACTTTTATACGTATTCTTTCAGAGGTATTATGATGAGAAATTGGTTGTTTTTTTTTAAATGTTTTTTTTTTCATGAAATCATGAGTTTTTTAAGAATCATTTGTACTAAAGTTGTGGTATTTTCTAGAATCCATCAAGATCTCTTAAACCAAGTTAATTCTAGATTGAATACGATTATTTTTAATTTTGGTGGATATGGCACTCAAAGTATTTGATTTAATGAAAAAAACATTGCATGCGTCCTTTATCTGCATGATAGCTCACTCATTTACACGCAGAAATACTCATTTTAAAGCTTATTTTGAGCACTATAAAACCCATTTTCATATCTAGCCTAATAATGTTCCTAAAACACTATAAAATAACGATTTATTAAGATTTTAATTGATATAATTCTGTTCATTACATGATTTTCGTTAAAATGTATATTTTTGAAGGTGTTAGCAACAAATGATGAAAAACGCAAAAAAGAAACAAATATTCAGTAGCCAGTAACTTGAAAAGTATTTCCTTTTTTGAAAAATATTATTAAATATTTTTCTCGTATAATTAGTTCTTTTATCGATACCCAACGTTATTTTGAAAAAAGTAAAATTACACCACTGAAAAGAAATGTCATCCACCCGAGAAGTGGTAAAGGAGTCTAAATTGTTTTCACTTCTGAAGAGTAAGATGAACCTAGTTCCAAAATTCCAAACGAATTGGAAAATAGTAAAAATTTCAGACCCAAGCGCTCCATTGAGTAAATATTCCGTACCCAATGACAAACATATGAATTTTTGACACAATGAAACTTTAAATATTTTTTTTGTATTGTGACTTAGTATAGTAAGGCAAAACGACTGCAAATTGAATATGTTTGAGCGCAATCACTTATGGCTCGCTCCTTTGCGCGAATTCGTACGGCGAATCTGTTCGCAAAGTGCGCAAACAAAATTATTGCAAGCAAAAGCAAACCACGCGCACGTCAGACGCATGCGCAGACTGCATCACTTGTCAAATGCATGTATATTATTTGCATCTTATATTAATTTAATTTTTGGCACATCTCAGCTGCTTTTCGGCATTAATAATGTAGACATTACATTTTCCTTATTCATAATTATGAATTTATTATATTCTAATATTGCCTTAGCCTATAAGTGAATAGAAATGTTTGGCAAATGACAGTCCTCAATTGTTTTTAATGTCAAACTAAGCTTCAAATATTCTCAAGGGCAAACAATGATAAGCGGTTTTTAGTAATTTTTTCTATTTATTTCTACAATTTAACTATATTTCTATGAATCAAAACATTCTAAAAAATTTCCCGAACAAACTTCAGGAAGATTCATGAAAATCCGAATTATAGTTTAGAAAGGAAATATGAAACTTACATTGTTACAGAAGAATTTTATATATAAGATATATATTTATTTATTTATTTATTTATTAATTTATTTATTTATAATTACCGAACATCAATGTATGTGCTTCAGTATGACAAAGTCTGAGTTCATCAAGTGTAGCCTTGCGTGCTCTTAAACGAGAACATCTGGCAGCCAACCCGGTTTCCAGCAGTCGTGCCCAGACACTTTGCAATCGACCTCCATGTTCTGGATGTCTGCTATTATCTCCACATCTATGTAAAAAAAATCGTAGATAAATAACAATATAAAAATTTTACCTGGCTTATGAAGGAATTCTAAAATTATTTTGTTAGAATTTGTATTAGAATTTTAGATATAACAACATATACAAATCGTTAAAACATGAAACTATTCTGATATAAAACTCACCAAACAAGATGCTGGATGAAATCATTAACAAGGATAATAAAAATTCTCTACTTGGTATTAAAAACATCAAATAAATTTACTTCTTTTGCTAATATTTATATTTACATTATGTATAAATTATATTTATTATATTCCTTTAGTACCTGCAAGCATGTTTCAGCATAATGCTGTCATATGCCAAACCAGTAGTTGGCGCAGAATAAGGAGCCTCTTGCGATTCTCGTGGTTCTAATGGTTCTGGTGACCGAGAACCTCTTCCAACGTGAACCAGTGGACTAGATAGTGTTCTGGACAATGGCCTGGTTGGATCAGGTCGCGGCCTGAGAGCCGAGTGAGTATCCTAGAGAAAAAAAAAATCATACCTGTTATGAAACCTGGTAAACTTTGATGTACCAGAAAACTCACTCCCTCGTATGTTAATTTGTTATTATTTTATATTAATACGAATGGTTATGAAAAGCCAAATTTAAGTATTTTAGTATACTAGTTAGTTTATTTTTATTACCTGGGCATTAACCATTTCAGCATCTTCATCCCTTAACCTGGCTCGTCTACTCTTCTCTGTCAAATCTATGATCTCCGATTCGCTACTATTGCTGCTAGACAGCTGCTTTTGCAATTGCTGTTGTTGCTGATTCAGCATCATCTGCTGCTGTTGCTGCTGTTGGATACCAGCAGCTCGTGTAAGAACTGTCTGCCTGATATGTTGCTTCAACAACGTGTGGTCCATCTATAAGAGGAAAGATTTAGAACATAAAATATATCAATTATATCTTTATATATGATTTATCGGAGTTGTCAAGTTATTTCTTATCATGATTCCTTGCCTGGGTGTTATAGGGTCCATGACTCGCTGGCTGAGGTGGCGCAGGAGCCTGAGGCATTCTTGTGGGATTCCCCTGAAGCATTGGATGCCCCAGAGGCAAAGGTGCGCTTTGGGTTCTTCCCAGCGGTCGGTGTGTGTGAGGGTGCCCTGATAACTTGTTTAGATGATGATGTGCAACCTGAAGGAAAAAAGTTTACAAATGATCAGTGATGAATGATAGAAGTGAGATTTTTTACCCAACACTTCAAATATTGATAGAGGTCTATAAATTCAACATTTAGCCTTATCCATTACTATTATCCAAAATACATTTTTCATTTCAACATTTACTGTAGAGTTTTTTTTAAGTAAAACTTCTTTAGGCGCGACTAGGGTGTAAATCCGTACAAATGCAATGGAAGTACGTTACGTTGAACTGTTCGTCATTCGCTCTCTATGAAATCATTTCAATACGGGTCGATTGTGATTAGTCGTCGTGTATGTGAATAGAGATCTGTCGTTGTATGCGTACCGGCATCGACGTTGTATGCGTACCGATATCAACAAGAAAATCGACATAGATAAATAAACATTTTAAAGTTACATCGTAGTACAAATCTTGATTTAATGAAAAATACCCGAATCAGAAGAATATTTTACCCTGTTCCTTGAAAATTATAAAACAAATTAAACGTTTGTGCCGTGTACTAAACGTAAGTTTATTGATTAGAAATTATTTCTATATTATTCGTAGTTTTTCTAAATTTTCGAAGTTATTAAAATGGAAAATATTTATATAGGCAAGACAGATATTACAGCTGTTCAAAGAATGAGATTATATCGCCAGCGAAAAAGTAAAAGAAAAATACAAGCAGTCAATGAATGTATGTTAAATTTAATTACATGAAGTTCTTCAAATACAATTACATAATGAATGAAGTTGTGAAAACAATATTTGATTAGTCAGGTATTGTTCAACATAATCCACCGTGTGAACGAATATTATAGATTAATCAGCAATTACTTCATTTCTTTAATAAAGGTTCATTTCTAAATGCCAATTACAATGACAAACCGATCATGTCATATTCGAAGTATGACTTTAATTACATTACTGTTTTCAAATATTCTACATATTTTTAATGCTATTATAAATATATAATTTATAATTTATCATTATATAAATGTGTATAACGGTTGACACTAATAAATGTGTGCATCACGAGTGTTACTATATTACTCATAAACATTATTCAAAATTGTTATATGATGCATTTATTTTTATCTGAGGGGTTACACCACTGTAGCAGCCAAAAAATGTATATTTTTGTCATTTTTTTCGGGCGGAAGGAAAAGTAATAAAATCATGATATTAAAGACAGTAATTTATTGTACTTTAACGTAACAAAATGAAACATAATTGTAAATAAAATAATAAAAACGGTACCCAAAATAGCTACAACAATTTTTATTTCTTTATTCTATTTTTCCACAATAGATTTTAAATTAAATTTTTAAGTGTCCATTATAGAGGATTTCAAAAATATCGATTTTTGTGTATTTGGCGAGCATTTTATTCAAAATCGTTAAATTTCAACGAAAAAAACGCATAGCGGCTATGATGGGCACTTAAAAATGTAATTTTAAATATTACTGTAAAGAATTCAAATGAAAAAAGTTCAAATTGTTGTAGTTATTTTGCGTGCCGCGTTGAAAAATCATGTTTCGAGAAAAACGTGTTCAAAGTTTTATATTATAGGTATTTTTATAACTTTTTTCTTATTGTCTTCGCTTGATGATTTAATATTAGAGCATGCTTAAGCCGTTTATAATCGACTTTAAGACAAAAGTTACATGTTTATATGTCAATATTAATCTCCAAAACTATTATCACTTATAAAATATTGATTAGACCATCGTTGAAATTATCCCTAGCAATATCAGCCGCAATAACTTAATCTTTCGCAACTTAACAATCCTTATATTACCTTCACCGATTATCTATTGATTAAAAATGCTTTTACAGTTTATTTATACAATATAAATGCTTTATAATAACATATTTTAATATATTTTAGGAGAAACGTGAGGTTGTTTGGCTTTTCAATGTTTTTTGTCAAAATTTTTTGAGCGGAGTCGGTTTGGAGCAGTCCGACGCGCATGGAAAAACTCATAATTACATGTAAAAAAAATAGAGTTTTAGATATGAAATATTTTTGCTCATATTCTAAAAGGTTCAAAGTATATTTTAAGCCTAAAAAATTTTAATTTTTCGAAAAATCTACAGGGGTGTAACCCCTTAACTTAAGTTTGCTACTTTATACAGCAGCAAATAAGTTTTACTTCAATTGCGTGTGAACCTTACGCGCACTCTTTTTTTATTGTCTATAAATTTCTCTTACCTGTGCATCTGTAATAGGTTGTTGTTGATGGTGAGGCAATTGTGTAGGTGCTGGAGCAGCAGCTTCTGGGGGCTGTTCTGCTTCAATAACAGGTAAGGTTGGGTAATAAGGTAGCACTCCAGATAGCAATTGCCCTGTCAAAGGAGCGCCCAAACGGGCTGCAGCGACAGCAGCCAGTACTGCAGCTTCTGTTGTACTTGACTAAAGGAGAAATAATAAATTCCATTAATAAACTTCATCATATATGAATATTTTATACATCAACTAATTCTATAAATATTTCTTGAATAAAATTGTATACAGTAGAATAAATTTTATTTATTGATATACTGAAAATACAATTTTATTTTATTTCTTAAACATACATTTATGTCGGTAGGTTTCACCAATATAATAATATTGTTATTATCACACCTGCGAATGGTGAGGGATATGAGACCTTCCTAATGAGATATTAGGCATAGAAGGGCTGCTGAATAGTGACAGATCCGTTAAGGAGCCCTGATGGCTATTTGTGAGCACCCCGTAGCCTCCCATACTGTTGGTTCCACTCATGTGGCCGGACGAATTGGGTTCCTCGTTTTCCTACAAAAATAAAGGAAATATAAATAATTGAAATTGACAAATAGATCAATCATAAGTCTATAAATGCTGGATAATAAATATATATATTAGCAATGTAAAAATTCTAAATCGTTCGGTGTCTCGTCTAATGGACAAATGCAAGGAATGATGCTGTTGTATATGCCCATCTGTTCAGAAGTTGAATGGCTCAGATGATTTAATTTTTTTTTATTTTTATATTTACTTTTATTGAAATTATTTTTTTATTTACATTAAAATTTGTGTTCATCCATATTGTGTATCACAGTAAATATTTCTCGAATTGATATGAGTTGATTCGAACCAAGTAAAATGTGATTCGAATCAGATTGTTAAGGGCTTGATTCGAATGATTCGAATTACATGATTGAAGTTGGTAATATATATATGTTAGGTTGGTTCTTAATATGGACATTTTCTTTTGCTCCCAAGAGCTCGAATGCTTTCAAATTAATAAAAAAAAATCTCTACAAGTTTTAGGTCTTAATATTAACATTTATATAGTCCGCAATTCAATTAAAAGTTTCGTATATTCATTATTAACATATGCCATTGAGCAAATTTTGGCGCCATATTAAAAACCACACTAATATATATATAATAATACTGTATATATACTAGCTGACCCGGCACATACAAATATTCCTAAGGTTTATGAACAGTCATTGCAAGTGCTAGCTATTCTGAAACTTACTTGATATAAATTGAATCGCTTTTCATTAATTCATTGATTTTTAATTTTTAATGACAAAGCAGAATACGAACATTCATTTCCAGTAAAGATCGTTTATAAAGGAAAAAGGTAATAGTTCTTACGTAATGTTCGCGGTTTAGATTTTCAGTTGAAATATAAACGGTCTTTACTATGCATGAAAAAAACTCTTCAACAAACATAATATCAGACTAGTCTTCCCCTCAGATAACATTCTTTCAGCATTATTTACTAAATTAAAATCTAAATTCGATCCGAAAATTTAAGTAATTTAGTATACAAATGTTTGTAATGTTAGTATAATTTAGTTTGAAAATTGGCCAAGGGTTTTAAATTGGCAAAACTAGCCACAATCTACACAAAAGAATCACTCAACACAGAAATAATTCAAAAAATAAGAATCAGTATAAAACAATGCTCACAGAACACATAAATAATCTTCATCATAACATTGATTTTCTAAACCCGAGTATGTATATTAAATTTTGAAACCAATATATTTCAAAGAAGATTTAGTGAAGGTTGTCTAATATTGTTAAACAATAAATCAATCAACAGGAGACTCGTCACCTATTCGCTTTGTAATAATTATAAGATATTCCTCGACCACTTTTCAAACAACATTATTACTGAATGAAGCGTGTCCCTTTTTTATTACTTTCCAAAACCATATGTTTTTACCAGTTTGCACATTTTCATAAAAATCTTTGTAAACACAATTCTTTCAGTGCTTAGACTTCAACAACTATGTACATAAAAGTTCAGTTATTCATCTCTAATTCCTAATTTGAACTACTGATAGCTTCGTGTTACAATTATTAATTAGTGTAGTGTGGTGTTAAATTGTTTTTGTCAGCAAGTACCTATCTTTAAGCCTAATATGTTTGTATCCATTTTTTTTTCTAAATTAATTATATAAAAACTTTCTAGTTTTCCACTGAATGACAGTCTCGATGAAGACTGAAACATATGGATTAATAAAGCTGATTTTATAATTGCTTTAGTTTTTTTTACTTGGTGGTATTGCCTGACTCAACACACTCGTTTTAATATATATATATATATATATATATATATATATATATATATATATATTAGGGTGGTCCTTAAAATGGTCATTTTCGAATTTTCTTGCTCCCAGAGGCTCAAATGGTTCCAAATTGATAAAAAATAATTCTCTGAAAGTTTTAGCTCTTAATATTAACGTTTAGATAGAGCGCAATTCAATCAAACTTCGTATGGAAAGAGCATGAATTTTTTTTTTTGAAAATTAAAAAAAAATGTTTTAGGTATAACTTAGCGACAAATGAATGAGTTTTATTCATTCATTTGTTCGCTAAATTGCATCTAAAAACATTTTTAAAGTTTTTCCATGCTTTTTCGTTAATATTAAGAGCTAAAATTTTCAGAGAATTGTTTTTTTCTATTTGGAACCATTTGAGCCCCTGGGAGCAAGGAAATTCTAAAATGACCATTTTAAGGACCACCCTAATACATACATATATATATATATATATATATATATATATATATATATGTATATATATTCGTCTTACCTCTTGTATAGGTGCACTTGTCGGTGACCCTCTACTGGCAAGGGCTGGTGGCGAATTAGGCCCTGACTCCGGGCTATTATTTATGGCACAATCTGCAAATACACGATTAATAGATAAAGTATACATATCTCTATAGAACAATATAGATCATTAACTACATATTGTAGCAAAAATTTATACTATTTCAAAAGGATTACTTAATTCAATCACACACAACACTGATGAAGAAAACGACGTGCTTTTGTTATGGTTAGCTGATGTTAATATAGTTAGTTGACGATTATAAAACATACGACAAATATTTTTGATGCTTGAGTAGACTGACTATTAATTATGCGTACTTAGCTTGTATTTTTTTTTTAATAATTGCATATGAATTACTGCAAAGGCAGTAGTTTGTTAAGATAAATTAATCGCGCATAGAAACTGATATAATATTATACAATGACAACATTGTACTTAGATATGAGAACTTTATATTACACAATATTTAACCTTTTCCACTCAAATATATACTAATCTCGCAACTTGCGAGTGGAAAGGGTTAATATCTAATTTTTTTTTCAATTTCTCTATGTGATGATTTCTCTCTCTATCTCTCTCTCAAACACGTACTTGCCAGCGCCGGATTCTTTCGGTGCCTGATGCCCGCCAGCAGCCTCTCGTGCCTGGCCCTGGCCTGCAGATGGGTCGACATGGGTCCGGCCCTTCGCTCTATAACGCGCTGCTTCAGGCGAACCTTAAGAAGATTCGGCTCGCTCGCTGCACGCCCAATGCATCACAACAAACATTTGCAAAGTTTTAGTTAATACAAACACAGGCAAGATTATAAAAGCAGGTAAATAATACTATTATTAGAGGTATTATTTTAGATAATTATTATAAGAAACTAAGATTGACATAATTTGATGCAAAATAAAATTGAGAATAAAATGATATTTGAATCGTTAAGTTCAAAATTTTCTTTAAGTTTTATAATTTTTTAAGTTTATGATTTTCTCGAGATTTTCCTCCTTGAATTTTTCAATTGCAACTCGCCTTTAGGCCACACCGTGTGAATTTCGAAGTTCAATATATGGGAAAAGAACTAACAATTTTGAGGCCTTTCTAACGATGTATAATACTTTATATGTTTTCTTTACAGAAATATCGAATCATGTGGATAGGTGCTGGAACCTAATCATACTTTGCATTTTAACAAGTGAATATTCACACAGATTGCTCTCTACTAGCTAAACCGCAAAAGATACGAAAAAACTTTGTTGCAGAATAAAATTACGAATAAAGTGATATATAAATCGTTATGTGTGTTCATATAATTTTCTCGAGATTTTCCAGTTTGCCTGTAGACAAACCGTGCAGAATTCGAAGTTGATATATATGGAAAAAAAAACTAAGAATTTTGATAAATTACTATATTTGTATTTAAAAAGTTTTTTTTTCTTGGATTTGTGTTTTGAATGTAGTATGTGCATCTATTTCAAGTAGAGGAATCAGAAAAATAAGAAGGATAATATCAGAAGAATAATAAATATCTTAATATTTTTATTTGCCCTTAACGATTTTTAATTTTCGATTTTGTTATTACTTTTTTTTCTTGGATTTGTGTTTTGAATGTAGTATGTACTTCTATTTTAAATAGAGAAAACAGAAAAATGAGATTAAAATATTTTTAATTGTCTCGATTTTTAAGTTTCTCATCCTTTGTTAATACTTTTTACTTAGACAATTTTTCTCAAAAATCGTATCAAATAGTGAAAACGAATTTAACTGTTTGTTGATAAATTTATTATATTTGCAGAGACCATTAATAGATTAAATATAAATTATATTATATTTTATTAACATCTCGAAGAAGAGGTTTATGTTTTCACGTTTTATGGTGGGAGACTCTAGAATTCTATTATTCCCACTCGTCGCAATTAAACTTTCGTCCTAATTGTAAATGTGTGTATGTGTGTGTGTGTGTGCGTAAGTAAGTGCCTCGAAACGAATTATTATTTATTATTATGACAATTTTTCCCAAAAATAGTAAAAACTAATTACAGACTTTTAACTGTTTATTAATAAATTTATTGTATTTATGAAGATCAATCTATAGATTGAATATATATTACAACAAATGTATTTTATGAACTTCCCGAAGGAGAAGTTTATGTTTTCACATCTTATCCCCACGAAAACCGCCGTCACGCACTGCTTCGTGAGGAGAGGCTCTAGAATACTATTATTCCCACTCGTCGCAATTAAACTTTCGTCCTAGTTGTAAATGTGTGTATGTATGTGTGTGTGTAAGTAAGTGCCTCAAGGCAAATTGATAGAACTTCCTGCACCAAAAATTTTAATTTTCAAAAAAGCTTTAAAATTTTTCGAAAACCAAAAAAAATGAAATTTTTGAGAACAGAGACATCAGGGAGCGTCCATTAATCACGTGAGGTTTTTAGAGAAAGGGGGGTTTGATAAAAAATCACGAAATATCACTTGGGGGAGGGAGGGGTAAGTAAGTTGACACGTGTATTTATCTTTTACCTATTTTTTAAAAAAAAAATCCAAATATTTCCAAAAATTTTTTTTAAAAAAATTACAATTTTTCCTCGTAACTAAAAATACATGTGATGTTTGGCGGGGAGAGGGGGGAGGGTTATTTTGAATATCACCAAAGGGGAGGGCGGTCAAAAAATCCTTAAAAAATCGATCGCGTGATTAATGGACGTCCTCTTATTTTATTACAAATATATTTTTTAACTTCCCGAAGATGAAGTTTTCAGTTTTCATCAGAAAGTCCGATTTACTAATTTTATGTTTTCTCGGCGTTTCAAAACATTGTGAATCGTGTGTATGTGAGCCTATTTTTGACCTTTCATCGAGATTTTCTCAAAAACTGCTGAATCGGTTTCAAAAACTTAAAAGCCATTCGATAAAAACGATCGTTTTTCTCAAAAAGTATTCTTTGTACTTTTTCTCGCATATCTCCAACACGATTGAACCTGCCTTTGCAGAAAACTAAATAGCAGATCTTCCCTTCAATACCATTCGAATATTTTTTGAATCAATCTAATCGGATGCTACGTTCTTCGATTATAAATAATATAAGAAAGTATGAGAAAAGTAAAGAAAAAATCTGAATGTTATTTTTTTGAATGCTCTGTTGAAAATAAATATGTGAATCTTTTGAAAATAGGAATATCGGGATCGTATTTTTGTAAATGATCTATTAAAAACAGAACTAATTAAAATCATGATATATTTAGAATATTTAAAAAAGTGAACGTCTATTTTCAAAGTTAAATAATAAAATTGTAAGAGCAATATAAAGTAAAAAAAATTAAAACGACGAATCGTGATCTATATAACCATAATATATTTTTAATTTTAATAATTTCATTTTTTCAAACAATTAAATTTAATAAATTATTAGCGTTCTTGCAGAAGATTAGATGCATGCTCGGAACAAAACAAAATTACAATTCATATATAATATTACACATCAATCTTTGTGCATTTTTAGTTTAGTACAACAAAATATAATATTTTAGTAATTTTAAACATCTAAGCTAATGCAATCACGTTTATAATACCATGCTTTATACATTATTAAAATTAAAAGATAAAAGAAATAAAAAATTACAAACGTTCTTAAAGAAATTAAATGTAATTTATTTTATTATTATTTATTATTATCTATTTTGTAGAATAAATTAAAAACTCAAAATTAAAACAAAAAACTTTTAGCTGAAACAGTTATGGGTTTGAGTTCTTACTTTTGATCAAAAAAATTCTTCTTATCTCTAATAATTTTACTATCTGTTTCTACTGACCTGTTTTCCTCAAAGGGAAGTCTCCCGATCCTGGACCTGCCTGCGTCGGAGACTGTTGACTCCTGCACGAGATATGATTAAGACTTGAATTCGAGTTAGAAGTTGAGATCATACTTCCACTATTGGTACTACTGTGTGCAGAACCAGGAAGTCGGTAAGGATGCGTCGACTGGCATGGACCTGAACCCAAACTTTCACCAGATGAGCTTTTTACCACTCCCCTGGGGAAAGAAATAATGATAAAAATCACTTGATCCTAGGAAGTATTTATTGTTGCTGTTTGTAACTCACCAGTTACGATAGTTTGCTGCTCCAGATCCACCAGAAGTTTGACTTACAGAACCATTGGTCATTTCACGAGCCTGCTCGCGTTTTTTCATCAGGAATACCTGCAGTTTCTGTTTAACTTCACTGCTGGCTGCATTATTTGAATTTGTACTACCACTGCTTATTCCAGTTAAGGAACTTGTTGAACCACTGGGAAAAAACATAAAATCATTAGCCATGACTATATATGAAAAGTTTATCCATAATCTCTTATACCAGGCACTTCTGCACGTCTGAGATATGGAAATTTATATAATGCTAAATAAATATAAAAAAGTTGGTAACAAAAGTGGACCATCCCACGAATTGGGATTATCTGAGATACGGTGTGGATATAACAAGTTTTTCACTAAATAAATTATCAGACTGGACAAAACATAATATTTATATCTGTCGTTAGATGGCAGCAAAAAATCTTTGCTGGCTCTAAAGTTGTTTCATGTTCTATATACTAATTGGTATTGGTATTTTGCATTGAGGCAAGTTACATGAACTTCCCGATATGTGTAATAATTGACTTAATCAATAAAAAACAAATTAATTTATAGTATAATCTATCTATAATATAAAAATGAATCGTAAAGTGTGTTGGTAAGCGTATAACTCAACAACGCCTGGACCAATTTGGCCAATTCTTTTTTTAAAATGTTCGTTGATGTTCAAGGATGGTTCTTACGGCGAGAAAAAATAGAATAATTGCCGGGAAAACCCTAAAAACAGACCTTTTCTTTCTCACATACAAACGTTAGTATTTTCAAATTTTTGCCATCGGATACGGAATATATTTACTCAAGTCAATGAAGCGTTTTGGGTCTGAATTTTTACTGTGCTCCAATTGGTATGAAATTTTGAAATTATGTTTATCTTAATCTCAAGTTCAAAAGTAAAAATAATTTAGACTCCTTTGCCATTTCCCGGGGGGATGACATGCCTCTCAGTGGTGTAATTCCATATTTTTTCAAAATAACGTCGGATATCAATAAAAGAACTAATAAGAAAAAAATGTTTTATAATGTTTTTCAAAAAAGCAAATGCTCATCATTATATTAAAAGCAGTTGTGCATATAAGATCCATATGGGTGGTTGTATATACATTTCGGTATTGATTGTAGTGTGAAAAAACATAATTTTTTGAAAAACAATAAATTGGAACAATTATGATTAGACGTATGTTGGGTCATCTAGTTTATAATATAATTTAAAAGTATTTGAAGTAGGAAGTGAATTCTTTTTCCTAAATGACAAAGAAACGGCTTGGCAGATCGTCGCACAAAACTGACAAACGTTAGTCCTCATTGAGATACATGAAATGGCTTTTAAATTTCTGAAATTGGTTCAGGCGTTGTTGAGCAAACGTCGATGGAAGGTCTAATTTTGACAAACGCCAAGAAAACTAAGATACTAATTTTTGCAAACTTTGAAGAATTTTTAAAATTTTAAATTAAACGACTTTTCGTAGAGCAGTAATATTTTAGTATCTATAAGGTAATTACCATAAAAAGATCATAAAAATCGTCGAAAAAATTTTGTTTAACACTTTATTACAAGAAAACGGTTCGGCCGATCTTTACCAAAAACTAATTAGGTCGATTCCCAACCAATATCTTTCGAACGGTTTTTGAATTTTCAAAATCGATTCAGTATTGCGGGCTAAAACGTGGACGAAAAATTATTCACTTTCCTGTTATTTGGAAAGAAACGGCTCGGCCGATCGTCACACAAAACGTTAGTCCTCATCGAGATGCATCGAATGGCTTTTAAATTTTTGAAATCGGTCCCGCCGTTTTTGAGAAAACGTCGATTTACGGCAAAAAATCTGTTCACATACACGCACACACACACACACATACATTTTCCAAATTTGGTCTCACTCGATTCAGAATGGCTTGAAACGTCGAGAAAACATCAAATTAGCGAATCGCATTTTTTGATGAGAACACAAACTTTTCTTTCGGGAAGTTTGTAACAAATTTTTCGACTCCTCATATACAGAATACTAGATGGCCAAATTCCTATTATTATTACCTATTAGGGCAAGTGGCCTTAAGGCCATGACTTTGCTGGTCATTATGCTTCTGCTGACGTTGCTGACGCAGTTGCATCTGTTCTATTTGTCTTTCACGAGCCTGCTGGGCTTGCTGCTGCTCCCACAATTCCTATAAGAAGAATTTCGATAAAATTAATATGTCTAAGTGAATATTTGTTTTGACTTTTGAAGAAATATTAATTTACATTTATCCAATTTCAACTATATCGAATTGTGTAAATTTCGTTTCAACACTTGTTCCTTTAATTACCTGACATACCTTGAGGTGCAGTTTGAGCCTGTGCTCGTACTCTTCATTGATTTGTTGCTGTCGCACTTGGAAATCTTCTAATAGTTTTTGCTGCTGTAGTTGGGTTTGCATTTTTAACTGAAAAGTGGAAAAGACAAATTAGATGTTACCTAGTAGAGTGAATCTTATATATAAAAATGAAGCCGTCGATAAAATGATCCGCTAAAACTCGAAAACGGCTAAACCGATTTGGTCAGTCTTAGTCTCGAAAAATTCGTGCTAATCAGTAGGTTGTCGGAAAGGTGAGATATTATTTCAAAATCGCGTAGAAACTTTACATTTTTAATTTGAACATTTTTGTAGAAGCGTAATTTGAATAAAACAATGGACGGTGGCTAATACGTCAAATGTCAAACGTTTTTGACAGATTATGTTCAATTACGTTTAATGGGATGTTTTACGTGAATATTATTTAATTATGATTAAATTGTAGTAAGCAGTTTTGTTTGTAGTTTTATTTTTACACAAAAACGTTATTAAACGGCCCGCAAATGTTATTAGAAACGCAAAATATCAACTTTTTTGAAATGTTAATATGAAAATGCATTTTATGGCGTAGCACTCTTTTTTGTAAATCATATTTTTCTCAAATACGGTGCTCTGAAAGATCTCATTTGTATAAATAATTATATACTCATTGGTATTTATAATACATTTTTTAGGTTATATTATTTTTTTATTTATGTTATTTAAATTCAGAACCTAAATTTGGAATCGATCAAAGGGACATTTTGTCCAATAACATTTTGCCAGTTATAATTTTCCAGAATTTATTGAAAAATAAATAGTAATATATGAAGGCCCGGGGTTAAAAAGATCCACCAACAATGTGTCAAAAACCAGTAAAGTTAAGCATTCTTTAACAACAATATTTGAAAGTAGAGGAAAAAATATGTAGACCCAGCTATAACCTTGATTCTTATGACTTTGCTATCAGGAGATAAACAGTAATCTTTGGAAATCCATAATAAAAGTATTTTCTTCCGTTGGTAGTTTTTTAGCATTAGTTAAGAGTGTAATTATTTTGTGAAATACCTTTAAAATTAAAATAAGACATTGAACCTGTTTGACACCTGGCCGTTCCAAGTTACCCCGTCTATGGGGTAAAAAGATCTAGATAACAAATTTTTGAAAGACAAAAAAAGACATTTCTACAATGATGAAGTAGCTGGCAGTTTTACTGAACGCAGTCAGATAATTCTTCGTTTGAAATGTGTTATTTGTTGGTTTAGTTTTCACAATAGAGTTTATATTTGCTCAAAGTCAAATTGGACCTTTGTGCCTCGCCCTGCTCTATATATATACTTTTTATTAAATTTACTTTAATTCATCGAATGTTACTTGAAACTGTTCAAAAAGCAGGTCCAAGACAAAATACTTAATTCATTTTCTATCTCTCCTCGCAGAAATTGGAAAATTTTTTATAGGCTCAGTAGTATTTTTTACAATTATACACAAAATCTAGAATCCAAAAAAAAATCTGAAAAATTTGTATCGTGATCAGTAAGTCGGAAGACCAAAAAAGACTTGGATTGGATTATACCATGTTTTCTATAGAAAGTATATAAAACTTCCAGTTTGATTGTATTGGCAAACTATAGACAAACTAATGGGGTTTATTGTTTTTAAAATACTTCATTGTATATATAGCATTCAAACAACACATCCTTATATACTAAAAGTATTAATATTTTTGATTCTCTAGAAATGGTTTAGAAAATACCTTACTTAGCCAAACAAAGTTTGAAGAGTCAAGCTAGTAAATTAATAATTATTAAGAAATTACAGCAGCGGTTCTATTATCCGAACCTAATTGGTGGGAATTGGATTTTCTTGGTTTTTGCATAAATAGATGCATGGTAAAATTAGATACCTACTGGTACTGGTTGTTATATTTTATTATTTTTCTAGTATTATTTTATTATTCAGAAATTTTATTTATATTATTTATTAGTTTTATTTTTATTATTATTTGCTTATATTTTATATTAAATCATATTACGGATATTATTTTCATGTAAATTTTATCCTTCGCATTTTTTATTTATTTAAATTTATGTTATTATTTATCAATATTACTTGATGTTAATAATTTAACAGTTGTAATACTTATTGAAATTAAAAAAAAAACTATTACTGGTACGGGGATTGATGTATCAATTAATTAAATTAACAAATTTTTATCCATGATTTTACTTTATCCTTACGTGCATGATTTGTTGCTGGAACGCCTCCTGCGATCTAAGAGAAGTCAAAGAAATACCATCGCCGACTCCGCCTTGGTCCATGGCAGTCGGAGGCTCTCCTTCGGCCGCCACGGAAGGGCCTATGACGCCACTGGAGATCATGAGTCCGCCGCCGCCGCCGATCAGGCTACCAGGAATGCCGCCTCCGCCCGGACCGGAACCCGGAGCAGCCAGGCCGGCTGCGCCTGCACCGCCGCCGCCGGTGTCGAGCGCCATTTCTAGAAGGAAATAGAAAAATTAGTTAAGAAAAGGTAAAAAACTCTGGTTTCAATTTTTTTCTTGTATAATAGAGAGATAGTATTATTCAAATTTATCATATGTCATTATATAGCATTTTTTTATTGTTTATTAATAAACAAGCAAACCCGACAAACTCCGTTTCGTCACCAGATGGTTTGGTGAGCAAGATGAAGAAATTTTTTGTTTGTTTTATATTTGAAAAGGAAAAATTTGATTTTATTATACAACAGCAATGAATTTATTTCGATTACAAAAATGAAGTGTTTTTTAGTTGAACTTCTTTAAGTAAATGAAAGTGAATCCGCAAATTATCCGTTTCATTGAAGTGCTCTTTGGTAAACCACATTTTTTGGTTTTTGGTCTGAGATTAACACAAACAAAGCGGATGGTTTTGCAACTCATGAACAGGCAACGTATAACTGCCCATGTGAAAAACAATTATTTTCTAAATAATCTATTTGAAATTTATCCCGCAAACAATAAGCGATTGGCCTTGCGACTTGTTATTGCGAACGCAAGGCGAACTGGAAATTGCAATCGTTTGAAGTCAAACGGAAGACCAGTCAGAATCATTGGTATGTCACCAAATCGCCAGGAATTTGGATTAAATGGTAAAATTCAGTGCGTTGACATCATTATTCTTTGCGGCAAGAATTGCTCGTTGACTTAACCAAGCATAATTCTGATAATTCTCACTAATGTCATTACTCGAATATTTAATTACGGTGCGTGAAGTTCCAGCAGCTTGCATTAAGGCACGATGCAATGCACCACTAATTTTCTTAGCTTTAAACCTTGCGGAGCCCGAGACCTTTATAACGAATGCAAAATTGTCGAAATCGGTTCGTGCGTTCTGGAGTTATTTCGTCAGGAAGGAAAACCCGACTTATTTTTATATATATAGAAGATAATAATAAAGACGATTCGAGTCCATGTCTTGGCCTATCATCAGTGTATATACATACATAAATATTCTAATTAAATATGGTCACGAATTCCACAACCATTGTATTAGTTTTGTAGTTCTATCTCGACACGTTTGTAACTTCAATATTATTTATTTAACAGTGACATATTTCTAAAGATAATATTATTTTCACTCCTAAACAATCAGATAGATTTTTTAAAAAATTATGGCAACCCAGTGGTTGTCGAAGCCAATTATGACTATACTCGAAGTATTTGCTAACGTTTTTATAAAAATTCAGTATGAAATTTTTAAAAAACAAATTTTAAATTTTTGGGAACACATCAATGCAGTTGAAATATTAACCCTTTCCACTCGTGAATTACGAGAGTTATATGAATTTTGCCGCCAGAGCGGCAGCATCCGAGTGGAAAGGGCTAAACTATAAACATTTTGAGATTCATTCAACATATTGGAATAGTTTATTCGATAGTGCATCTAACCCTAGAATGGTATTGTCCTTAACAAATAATTTTTTATCCGTTTTTTGTCGTTGTATAGTTTGTGATATCAAAGGTTATTTCAGAAAATATAAAACTCTGGTTTAGTAGCAAATAGTCTTTTTATTTTTTCAAAATTTCCATAGATTTATTCAAAATTTCGATGTACGCCTCGGAGGCATGCAAATACTGTTCTAGAGTTAAAAAAAAAAGTTAAAACTTTTTAATACTGTGAAAATTTATTTAACTATCTAAAATTTAACTGCGGCTTCCTCAAAAGCTGATTATTTTTCCCCATTTTTTTCTATATTACAAAATTATGCATGTAGTATTTTTATAAAAAAAGATCTAAAAACACAATAACTAGTATTTTTAGAAAATCATTCATTCGCAATTTAGTTGGACAGTTTGATTTATATCTCTTATTTTTATATTGCAATGTATTTTATTTTTATTTTCTGCGTTTTATGAACTTGCCCGTAGTTTTGGGGTCAGCGGTATTGAGTCAGACATACCCAGACTAAAGACCTAGCCTGGGATACGTAAAAGCATTTCCTTCGCTATACAAAAAACATACTTTAACCAATTTTGGTTTCAAACGATTCAGAATAACTCGAACGTAAATACTTTGTGCCCGAAACGTAAATTTTCCATTTTGGAAGTTAATCAAGTACTGTTTGACTATTTTGTACGAGGGTAAAAATGTAAGAAATCTATGATAAAAACTGCCAACAATGTTTTGCTTATAAAAATGATATAAAAACAAGACCATCACCTACAAAGACATATTCACTTTTTAGGCGGGTGTAAATATGTGAGAATGCAACGGAAGAGCGTTACGCTCGAGTCGAGTGCCAATGATTCGTCATTCGCTCTCGATGATATCATTTCTATACGGGTCGATTGTGATTGGTCGTCGTGTCGCGTGAGCGTCTTTGATTGTATGTGAAAATAATGAAACAAATGAAAAATCTGAGGATGTTAAAAATAAATGTATGTTAAAACTCAATAATTAAACAATAGAACAAATTGTTTTTTTCGATTATAGCATACGTTTTTGCTAATTATAAGCTTTTAATGTATTTTGAATGATAATTTAAAGAAATAAAGAAAAATTGACGTTAAAAAGGTAATAACTTCCATCTATGTTATTTTCAACTTAAATAAAAATAAGACCATACTCTAAAAAATATAAAGTATTCGTTTATGACTAAACAAATATTCAATACGCCCCCTTGATAATTTTTTACCACAGTTTTACTATTTTGTGAGTACATAAAAATTAAAAAAAAAGTATTAAGTGTCAACAATGCTTTGCTTACAAAAATTGTATAAAAACAAGATCATCGTCTACAAAGATATATCACCCATGTGTTTTGGCGTTCTCTAAATCTCGATCTCAATCACCGTCCAAACAAATATCCGATATGAAACCTTGATAATCGCTTCCGATAAATTTCGAAATATTTTGGCGACTCATCTCGAATGCAAAAATAACCCGACGCATTCCTATATAAAATTATCCATTCCGTCGTAGTGGCGGTTAATTTGGTGAATGAATGTCATCATCATCATCATAGACATAGTTATAGACTCGGCGGTGCATTAAACAACAATATGCCATATATTATATATGTTCGTTAGTTGTTTGTTGTTTATCGTTTCCGAAATATATTTTTGTAGTGCTATTTATAAATATATATAGAAATTTACACACACATACATTCGTGTGTTTGATTAAAAGAGAAGAATTCTATTTTTACCTCGCTCGATGGCATTCTAAGCTCTTAATGACTGCGGGCTCTATTCATTTAGCGCTCGCCCGACTTAATTTAATACCTTTATCGCATTTTTAGATTTGCACGAGTACAAAAATAACTTTTCTTCTTTTTATCTATCAAGATATAAATCCGTATACTTAAATCATAATTTTTTTCCAGGCATCCATCTGGCAATTGAACTAGGAGCAAGTTCTATATGACATAAGGCAAGTTGCATGAGTATTTGGGAGGGTCGATTTGCACGGATGAAAAAATTTTTGAATTTTTTTGAAAGGGATCAAAATAAGATACTTTGCTGAAGAAACCATACCTCTAAAATGATTTCTTTTGTCCTGTGCATTGACCCAAAGATAAGGGTTAAATTTTGAGAAACCTCTCAGGGGGGGGGGTGATCCGCAGGCATGGGTGGATCGGCCCTCCAAAGTTAGTTGGGGTTGGTCATACATTTGGACGCAATTGGGGCACTCTGAATGGGTCAAAATGGAATTTTTCAAATTTTAACCGTTATTTTTAGGCCGATGCATGGGACATGAGAATTTTTGTTAGAGGTATGGTTTCTATGTTACGCTTATCAGTAAAGTATCTTATTTTGATCCCTAGAATCCGAAAATCATATGTGCATATGCGACTTTTATTTGACCCATACAAAGCGACCCGCCTTAATGTACACATACACTCACACACACACACACACACATATATATGTATATATATATATATATATATATATATATATATATATATATCGAACGACTTAGAAATCTCGTCTATCAAATGAATTGTCTAGATTGTAATTTAATTTACATAGGAGAAACAAGCCAGAACTTAATGAAACGTTTACAACAACATAAAATAATTCGAAAAATCCAAGGCAATTTAAAACTATGATCGCAGAGCATATTTATACTTTAAAACACAATATGGACTTTTCTAACCCGACTGTACTACAATTCAAACAAAATTTATTCAAACGAAGTATTATAGGAGGATCTTTTTTAACTATTTACAACAATAAAACAATAAATAATCGGAATGAATTTAACATGCTGTGCGACACAAATCTCTTTTATTTAGACAGTATTTCCAAATTTCTCACAAAACAATAAAAACGACGCGCAAAGGTTTTGAAACTCGTTCCACACATGTGTAGAAATTTGGTAAAAAATATTTTTTAAAAAGTCCTTTCTCCATTATATCTTCAACCAGTCTATGAACAACACACTATCCAATTGTGATTTTTCAAATTAGTATTTTGTGAAAATATTGTGTACTTACAAGTTTAATGTTTATAATACATAGTGTAGTGCATTATCATATCCTGATACCATGAATTATTAAAATTTTACAATTTTACACTAAGATTAACTAATTGTAAGTACTATTCACTATGTTATTTTTTCTTTTCACTCCAATTCAATTGTTTTAGTTTTTAATTTTATTTTTAGTTTCCACTGAATGAAGGCTAGGATTATAGCTGAAACGTATGGATTTAAAATAAATTTTTGAAAGAAATTCATGTTTTTTATTGATGCTATACCCGATTACTAGACTTTGTTAATATATATATATATATATATATATATATATATATATATATATGGATGTATTTGCATAAGTATGGTCTATATTTATATCTATGTTGGCTAAAGCGTCTGTCGGAAAATTGGATATCTATTTTCAGATAAAGCAGCATGGCCGACGTTCTGAGTTCTAAAATAGATTTATTGTGGGTTATACACATTTATATACAAATATACAAACCGATATATATATATATATATATGTGTGTG